GTAAGGAGAAGCACATTAACATTATACTGGCCATATTGTGCAGGGGAGAAGCGAGACCCGTATAGACAGAAACAACAGAGGGGAAAGGAAAGAATAAGGACCGTAACCTGGGGAGAAATAAGGTACAAGATTACAGAAACGGTTATACAAGGATGTTGCTTGTATACATGTATGAAATCTTTGTAACTCTCATGCATTATTGATACATGTTGCAGATTATATGAGTTTGTAAATCATGAGAGAGAGAGAGAGAGAGAGTGTGTGTGTGTGTGTGTGTGTGTGTGTGTGTGTGTGTGTGTGTGTGTGCATATGTATGTGATGATTGATGGTAGAGGGAGGATTTTGCTCTTTATTATCACAATTATTATTATTTTTATTTAAATGATGAATTAAATGCTCTGTACTCTAAGTCAGTGTAACAATGATGAGTGTTGTTTGTTGTTGTTGTTGTCACTCGGGTGTTGCTGGTTAATTATAGCCATAAAATAATAATTGCATTTACAAAGTGCATATCCCTACTCTAAAGCATGCTGTGCTGTATGCGCTTTACAACTGTTATTACCCCAGATTACTCAGAAACATTCTTGGCTTTGTGGGAAGTATACAGTGCAAGCAGCCAATTTAATTAAGCGCACAAACACTAACAAACTTACAAGATCTTTTGCTGTCTATACCCGGGTACGGTACCTATTCCCACCTGGGTGGTGAAGTATGAAAAGTGCCTTTTCCAAAGACGTAACGGCAGACAAATCCCTGACGGGGTTCGAACCCATGACCTTTGGATATGACCTCTCCAGCCTAACCATTAGACTGACATCACTGCTCAAAAGACACCTGACATCTGCCAACCACTTCATGACAAAAAACTGGAGTCTGGGAAAACAAACCGATGAGTCTCCAGAATCCCAGTGGAATAAGATTACGTACCAAACTGATCGTGGCAAATAAATGTGCATTTAAAATTCTCGCAAATACAAATGGGCATTTCTACGTCATTTGCGGTTTAAGATAAGTCGTACAAACATTTTAAACTCTAGCATGCGTCTGATACGCATATAATCAAAACAGAAATAATCTACTGTTATAACTTATGGGAGAAACACAAGTCATGCACTCAAGTTTTCGTACAAGTTTTACTGCACTTGTAACACAAATAGGTTATATTGCATGCAAAAGATTTGAGGAGTCGCTAGAATAGAAAGTAACGAGCACAGAAAAGGAGCAATGAGGATGACAGATATTTTTAGGTTTAGTATGTGTTAGTTTTAGAAAAGGTTTGTTTGTTTTAGTAGAGGTATTACGGCGCTCACAACTGCTTAGGTCACATGAGCGCCAGAAGATTAGAGGTGTTACAAGAGAGTAACAAACATAAAAAAGAAGAAGGGGAGATGAGGACGATAGATGTATGATAGGAAAGAAGAAGTAAACCACACCAGAGCGCCCACAGACAGACATTTGATAGGAAAGACGAGGTTAACCACACCAGAGCACTTGTCAACCACCCACTCTACGCACTTTGTGAACTTTCTCCACAGAAGCTTATATTAATATTATAAAAAATAACAGGAAAGGCACCAAGGCAGGTGGAGTCGACTTCTAAATTTTTATTGAATCATTAACAGCAGATGAAAGCCCAGCTGTCGGATCTTTCATCCCAACATTGTACGAGAACAGGTCACCACTCGACAGGCTGAGGGGGAGAGGGGTGGGAGGCTGGTAGGGGCACCACCTCAAGATGCAACACGGCACTTTGACAACACGGCCTGCCAGTGTGCATGTAGACACATAGCACCACACAACAACATATTCTCTCTGGGCGCATGCACACACACACACACTGTGTTCACCATAACACGAGCTCTAAAAAATTCCTCACCACAAGACGTGAGGATGATGTTGCAAAACCTCCCCACAACAGTCAAACTTTCTCTAATGGCCACTTACCACCCCTCCCTTCCCCTGCATTAAAATTTTAAAAAACCCAACAACAAACAAACACAATATGCCACCGGCTAAGATGTCCACTTTTCTCCTAACCAATGGGTGGCCCGTCTTAGAGTAATACTTCGACTGTATTTCCACCATGAGTAAAAGGACTCTCTGGGGACGATCCACAGGTCTTTATACCGCCCCCGCGACAGCACTCCTGACTAGCATCTGAATAAGTATAAGTAGGGTGGCTGCCCGAACAGACACAGACATTTGAGCATACTGTTTGTCCACCTCCGGGTCTAGGAAGCCCCGGACGAACACTAGACACACAGAAAAAACCTCAACAGACACATGCACAGAAAATCATCAATCGTATTATAGTTAAAAATTATTATTTGTGCCAGCTGAGAATGGAAAAAAAAAGAAAGAAAACAAACTAAAGGAGAAAGAATGGGCCTGAGAGAGATAGAGAGGCCTGAGAGAGAGAGAGAGAGGTTTATCAAATTTGCCCCACCACATTCCCGACTGTTACTTTTGTCATCAAGATGTGTCACTCAAGTAAATATCCTGAATGAACAGTAGCAGTAAGAACAACACCAGCTGTTAAAGGAAGTTTTGTTTATAAGACTAAGAAGTTAAAAATGTATTTAAAAAAAAAAAAAAAAAAAAAGGAACAACATACACGAACCACTACACCAACAACAACAACGTCGTATCCATGAACCCACAGCACCATCAGCCAAGTCGAGCTCAATCTCATCTCATTCACAGGCGCACGTCAGGGTCACGCTCAATGTTGACGTGTCTGGCACAAAACAGACCAGTCTGTCAGCTAGGTTCAGTTTAGTTTTAGGGCACTTGCAAAAAAGTGCTCGTTAACTTTTCAGGAGAAGTTTCACAAATCTTCACAGTGCTATTTGTAAGACCGGACAAAACAGAACAGAATGAATGTAGCCAGTTACGCCATACAAATTCCTGTCGGAGGTAACCAAAAAAAAAAAAAAGGGTTCCCATTGCAAATGTTTTCCAAGCGAGATCATTTAGGATGCGGGATGTTCCAACCCTGTGAGTTGGGACCAACTCGGGCAGAGAGAGACGAAGAATACAATGTCGTAACATCCCAACCACAAGCTGCCCCACCAGTTGTCTCACAACAAATAGCTACCCAAGAATTACAAATCAAGGTCAGAATCCAAAAGGCAAGATCAGCATTCATCATTCTCAGGAATACATGGATGTCTAAGGAACTGGGATTGAACACCAAGCTGAGGATCTTCAAAACAAACGTGAAGACTGTTCTACTGAATGGTTCAGAGACATGGAGGCTCACAGCATCAGCAAGGAAACTGCAGAGCTTCGTAAATGGATGCCTACAAAGGATAGTAGGGATCAAGTGGTACGATCGAGTAACTAATGCTCAACTGCGGGAAAGAACAAGCCAAAGGTCAGTAAAGGAAGACATTCAGGTGAAGAAATGGAAATGGATTGGACACACCCTGAGGAGACCCCCGACAAGCATCATCAGGCAGGCTTTAACGTGGAACCCACAAGGAAAACTTAAGTAAGGAAGACCAAAGATGACATGGAGGCGAGCGGTACAAGAGGAAATTGAAAAAGTGGGGACATCATGGAAACTGATAGAAAAGGATGCTCAGGACAGGCTTTGCTGGAGTAATGCTGTTGATGGCCTGTTCCAGTTCCATCTTCTCAGTACCTAGATTTGAGAAATTTTTGAGTTTCACAACATGGTTAAGCTTTTCCGAATGCAATTCTTTGACCTCATGGTAAAAAGTAACTCAAAACGGCCGAAAATATCAGACAGAACTTATTTTAAGGTAGCCAAATGCAACAGAGACCCGCACAGTCTGTGCCTGCCTCAATTCACCCATGACTGAAGTAGGATACGCCGAGGCTTGTCGTCTGAAAGTATCTCACCACACTGCTGAAACAAACAACGCTGTCGTCCTTCCGTACCCGCTCCGCCTAATCATAGTAATCTCCCTCGGAGAAATTTGAGAGAATACATGTTACATCCACACTGACACACTTTATACGATCACACATCAAACAGCAGTTACCCAAACATGCTACATGTCCAGTGACCGGGCAGCTGTAAGTGAGTGATAACGGTACGTAGATCACTGTACATAGCATGCACGAAGGTGGCGCTGACACGACAAGGAAGGTGACGCTGACACGAAAACAACGACAGACTGGTGTCCTCACAAGGAAAGTCCTAACCCTCCAACATTATATTCATACAAGACTACAATAAACGTTCTTTGGCAATCCAGAAACTGGTAAGTCAGAAATTCTGGTACACAGGAAGCAGATGTTTCTCCTAGCTACCGACGGCCACACGACAACGACCACCACCACACAAAACCTCAACCTCCTGACCAGGAACCCAAACCACACCGGAGCTGGGTGAACAACAGCAGCCAGGGGAAGGCGAGATCTCGCGCAGAAAACATCCGGCAGTATTCAGCGCTTCTTTCTGCGCCGGCTGGCTTTTCTTAGCGGTGGCTGTGGCGAGATCTCCTGTAGGAAACGGCCAGCTGTATTCAGCGCTTCTTCCTGCGCCGGCTTTTCTTAGCGTTAGCCGTGGTAGCGGCTGCGCTCGCCCCAGCCTGAGCCCCCCAGCCCATGTCCGCGTTGACGTGTGGCGGCGTCCAGGAAGTGCCGTCCCCGCCACCATTGGAGGCTTTGCTGAATAGACGGTTGATGATGTCTTCCCACTTGGCCTCGCCGTGGCTGGGGATGGAGGGGAAAGGAGGTTGTAGTTGAGTATAGAGAATATATATACATCCACACTATAACGGTATTTCAGTCTGAGTAAAGAGAATATAATAATTAATATATACATTGACAAAATAACGGTAGTTCGGTCAGACTAAAAAGAATATACATCGTCACTACAGTGATAGTTCACTTTGAGTGAGTTTAGAGAATATATCATACATTGATACCATATAACGGTAGTTCAGTTTGAGTAAAGAGAATACACACTATAACCGTATCTTTACGATGAAGTACATTGAACATATAACGATAATTTAGTTTAGTTATAGTAAGAGTTTTATGGCACTTCCAACACAAATAAGTCAAATAAGTGCCCAAATAGTAAAGTTCAGAAAAGAACTGTGACACTATAACAGCAATTTAGTCCCAGTTTCGTTTAGAGACGTACGACAATACTATAACAATAATTCAGTTGGGAGTTTAGAGAAAAATACTCGAGTGAGTAATCACAGGCTCTAAACACTCCGAGGACTTGCACCATCCACCAAAACATGACCCTCCGTTTCGAACGGCTGGACCTCGTGTGCAGTGTCCGTGTCACGGCAGAGTTGTAATTACACCTCTCGCGAACCAAAAACAGCTCGCTGTGGTCGTAACACCGCTCAAAGACTAGGGGATTTCTACCTTGCTATACCCCAACAAAGAACACAAATACTCGGCCATTCCTTGAAAAGTGACACACGTAAGGCAGGGATGACAACCTGCTAAAAAAAATAAAATCTAAATAATGATAAAACCATTCTCCATTATTTCTTTTCTTAGAGAGGAAGGTTGCATCTAATTTTAAAAAGAAAAAAAGAAAGAAAGAAAGAAATAGAAGGAAAAAAAAAAGGAAAGAAAGTGAAGAAAAGAAAAGAAAAGGAAAAAAGAATGGCTCTATCACTGCTTGGAATTTTTTTCAGGAGGACATCATCACTGTTGACCTTCCAACCCCTCCATGACCAAAAAAACCCCCCAGAGGAGTTTTCATCTCAATCTTCCCTAACAACGGAGGGCTCTGATTTTTTTTTAGTGTACTGGGCAAGCCTGTCACGGCAGTACATGTGTCACTTCTCACAGACAGGCCATAACACGTTCCCTATGTCTCACCCAGGCTGATGATGGTGCCTGTTCTTCCTGTTGCCGTCCGTCGCGATACGATACGAGACTCCGTGAGTGTTAGCCTTCATATGCTGGAAAAACTCTTTCTGCAAACAAAAGGCAAGAGAACTTCCGATTAAACCTCGTCCTCTTCAGTAAATAATAATAATAATAATACAAATAATGTATTTTAATAATAAACAGCATTTTTAAAGTCCATATCCACGCTCTACAGCAAGCTCTATGCGCTTTACAACGATTTTTACCCCCAGCAGACCCTAGAACATTCAGAAATGTATTCCGCTTTCCAGGAAACTTACAGTAAAGAAAATTTGTTAAATTTTTTTTTAAAAAGCAGGACGCACTTGTGGTTCCCTCTAACCACCAAACCGTGTTTACATCTATCACGTACAAAGACCACAGCCGTCATCTGTATATTGAGGAAGCAACAAAGACAAATACAATCTGCAGACAAGAACAAATATCCTAATACTCTCAATGCTATTTCACGATTGCCCAAATCAACATCACAAGTTCCTAGATGCAGCCATTATTTGAATAAAAACATTGGGGGTGGGGGCAGATTACAATATACTCTTGTTGTTTCCTTCTTAGTTTTCAATTAAAAAAAAAAAAAAAAGTTCCTAATTCATGGTTCTGGCTCGGTGAACTTTTCTTTGATCGTCTCAAAACTTTTAAAAATGACTTGAGTGCTTGTGGAACAAAGCTGACAATATGCAAGATGGCAATCCTGCACTAGGAGAAGTCAAAGTAAATGTAACAGTTCAAACAAAAATTATTTCATCAGTGTACTAAAAAAAGACAAAACAATGCTAAATTTATCAGAACGGTGGCAGTAAAACCACAATAAGATCCCCATGTACTGTCATCTTCTCAAATGGCCACTAGCCCAAGACAATCACCTGTGCAAACAACCACTTTTCAATTGACACCCCCCCCAATGGTTTTTAAACCATGAAAATGACATTGTCAAAGACATCCACCTGTCAGTGACAACCACTTTTCTCCTCGACAATTGGGGGCTGTCTTGGACAATTTTGACTGCATGTTGCACATCACATACAACACACAAATGAATGAACTGAAAAAAGAAAAAAAGACCCCCCCCCCCCCTCTGTAAGGAGTAATAAGGGCAGATAACTCACATGGCACTTCATCCACTCGGTGATGTCAAAGACGTGACCCTCCATCAGTGCATAGTAATGCCAGTAGAAGCCCAACATCTTGGACTCGGCCCACACGTCACCCTGGGAAGGAAGAAACAGCCGCAGAGTTAAAGATTATGCTGAGTCAGCATGATCGACCACAGCTTCACCATTCTCTTATTATTAATAATAATAATACTAACAACAATAACTTCTAAAGCACCCACTTTCAGGTGGCTCTAAAATCCAGCCCATTCATTGTACAACAAACAATTCTTTCAAATACATAATATATGCATCCTTAATATTCCAAGAGGGCCAAGGGGTGGATGTCAACAGAGAACTCCAAACATGGAATCAGGCTTACTCTGCTCACCTCTCTAGCCTCAACAGCACAAAGTCTGCTTCAACTATCAAGGCACCCAGGGACTAGCAGTTCCCTAGAGAGTGACAAACACACAAAAGAAGTAGAGGAAAATGACAATAGTACGGATAAGGGGGGGAAAAAAACGAAAAGTGGGACAGACAGACAGACAGAGCAAACAGCAGACGTACCTCTTTAGCTGAGTGGTGCACATTACATCTCTGGCAGAAGCGTGCGCTGTAGAAGGGCCGGTCGACGGGCACACGTCGATGTTTCCCCCCGCAGTTATCACAGTGCATGATGTTGGCCGCCTCCTGAAGTTTGGTCTGCAGCTTCGACAACATGTCTGCAAATTCTCTCTGGGAAGAAAAACGGAAGGAACCAAGCTGTCACTGTGTGTAGTGTTTGAGCAAACAGAAGCATGTGTCGAAATAACAACGGGCATTTTGTGAAGGGAAAAAAAAATCCAAGGCAGAAACATTACGGAAGGAAAAAAAAGTAGGACATACCAATGGCGTCCACCAGTCACCCACACCAACAAAGGCTTTACCAGTAACTTCCTCTATTTATACATATATACCCTATCTGTACGCTCTGGGGTCATTTTTGTACCCCCGGGGTTGTACTTTTCAAATTTTAGAATACGTCTAGTGCGAAGATCTCTTTAAAACTTTCAGTATTTCTCAAAAAATCATTTTGACAGACAGGTATGCAAAACGTACGGATCGTATAACGAGTAAATTTCCTCTTTGGTAAGTGGTGGCACAGAGAGAAACATAGAAAAGAGGGAAAGAGAGAAAGAAAGGAGAGAGACAGACATAGAGGGAAAGAGAGAGATAAAGACAGAAAGAACTGGTACAGCAGCAGCACAGCCAAGTAGACAGACTCACCATCGCCTCTGCTTCATTTGCCTCTTGAGTGTGACTGTCATACTGTTTTCTCTTGCTCTGGGGAAAGGAAAGATAACTTGCGTCACTGACACAAATAACAAATGTCTCCCATCAACACAATTCAGACAAGTCAAAGCCAACATGAACTGAGATCTGCCTCTAGATACATATTGGTTGAACCTCCTTAAAAAAAAAATCTTCCACGGAGTGGGAGCTGAACTTACAGTGGAAACCACATATAACAGGCCCGGTAATAACAGGGATCCGGTAATAACAGGGCTTTTTGCATCCCTGTTTTTTCCTACTCTTTGTCTCCATTAAAAGTTATCGGCAATGAATAACAGGGCCCCATCGGAGCCCAATCGGTTATAGCAGGGAAAAAGGCTCGTTAACAATGCGTAAAAAGTAAGAGTGAGAGAGAGAGAGAGCAAGCCCACGCCACTGCATGCACACGTAGCGGATGAAGCGAGAGAGGGCTGCGGTGAGCTGCAGTGCAGACTTCGATCTAGCCCTAAGCCTGTCTACACACACGCGTAATGTGTCATGGCCAGGCCATGGGAAACTACCCATGAATAAATACAGCTGGATTTGTCCACAAAATGCCTACTTCCCTTGCATTTCTGATTTAACAGGGATCTGATATACAGGACTTTTTCTCTGGTCCCATCATCCCTGTTATATCAGGTTTCCACTGTACTTCTATTGCATTGCATGCCATGATGGTGAAGAACCTCACCACTACACCAAAGACATCCGAGTTATGTAGTCTTAAACGAACAAAAAAAAATTGTGAGATGTGTTGATATAAAAAGTTACTTCTCGGATTTTAGCCTTCTGAAAATGGATATACATCAACTTTATAGGAGGTGTTTGTACAATTTGTAAGTAGGGAATAACAAAAGACACGGCTGACTTTAACAAAATGGCCTCAATTGAAAATCTACAGATCTGACCCTTGTGTCGATTTTCAGCCGATATCTTCATTTTTGGATTGCGAGAAGTAACTCATTTTGTCAGCACCCCTCACATTTATCAGAGAAAACAAAAGCTCATGAACAAAGCAACAAAATGGAGCAGGTGGTAAAGGAAACATGGCAGGCAGGCTGCGCCACTCACCGGTTCTCCTATCATCTCGAAGGCGTGGCCCAAGACTTTGAAGGCTTCCTCAGCACCGGGCTCCTGGTTCTGTCGACACAGCACAACACAAAAGTTCTGTTTAGTTTGGGTAAAACTTTTACAGCACTTGCAACACAAATAGGTCATATCATCATCATTCATAAAGTGCCAGATCTGCGACAGACATCGAGGATCACCTGTGCGTCATTCATTCATTTGTCTGGATGCTCTTAAAAAAAGCTATACCACCTTGATCTTTCCCAGCAACCGATCTGTATTAGTTTAGGCTTTCCAAGTAAATTGCTCTGGGTCTCCCACTGCCCTGCTTACCTTCAATAGAAGTGTTAAAGATTAGAGGTGTTGCTGGAGAGCAGCATACAAAGAAAAGGTAGAGGAGGGATAAGGGGGAGGGAGAGAGAGAGAGAGCGAAAGAGAGAGAGAGAGAGAGAGAGAGAGACAGACAGACAGAGAAAGAGAGAATGTGAATGATAAATTGATATGATGTACATTCTGTGTCACTATAATGGTACGATATCATACACATACCTTATCCGGATGTACCAGAACGGCCTGCTTCCTATAGTACCTCTTGATGTCCTCGTCGGTTGAGTCAGCACGTAGCCCAAGTATACTGAAACACAACACACAAATCAACTTAAAAAAACCAAAACATTTTTTTGGTAGTAAAGTATAGAAGCATTTGCACACCCCATTGGAAACAATTAAGATTATGAAGAAGGAAGGCTTTTATCCCTGCCTGTGACGGCTTATCTAGGCCGAGAGGAATATAACATCCCAGCAGAAAGACCCAAGATACACTGACGACACACTACTGTTATACAAAACATTCACTGACACTCCTCCCACACAGGCACACATTCAATGACATGACACACACTACTCACTACTCTGCCGTAAGCTGACAAAATGCCTTTTTTTCCATTTTGGCGCCAAATTTTTTAAAAATTTGCTAAATCAAAATTCTGATCAGTCACCATTCTTGTGTGACAAAAATTAAATTGAATCTGCCACTAGTTTTTGAATAAATTTGAATTCAAACTGTAGAATGACTCTATTTTTCATTGGTCTTTTTCTCAAAACTCATCATCATCATCATCCGGTGCCTTGCCGACTGCATGGGCAATCATGGACCTCCACTTCACTATGTCTTGCACTGCAGCAATAGTGACTGTTGTTCTTGCTGCTCCTAGCCATGTTGTCATCTTGTCCAGTATCTTTTCCCTCCGTCTACCTCTGCCTCTCTTTCCATCAAACTTGCCTGTTGTTACAATATTCTTTAATGCTTCTTTCCGCATTGTGTCCAAAGAAATTTGCCTGTCGCTTTCTTATATTCGTCATAAGTCGTCTTCTATAATTTGTTTCAACCACGTTTCTCAAAACTGCTGTGAACAAAAAAAAAATGTTTTGTCAGCTTATGGCAGTTCTGTCATACACAACCACTAACACACAGACCCACCTGTATGGATCTTTGCCTTTACACGCCAGAAGTCGTTTCATCGCCTCTTCTCCTGAAACATGGAGGAAAGAAACGTGAAAAAAAGGAGAGCCACTGCAAAGAGATGGTAGCAAAAAGTCGGCATGTCCTGATGATGACACATTCCCTATTCTTAGTTTTAGTAAGACAACCATAGAAAAGCTAAGACAAAATATATGCAACGCATACATAAAAAAGGTAAGACAACACTTATGTAACAGACACACACACACAAAAAAAAGGTAAGACACACACATGTACCGCATACACAAAAAGGTAAGAAAACACATATATAATGCATATATACAAAAAAGTACATACGTAATGCACACACAGAAAAGGGTAAGATGACACACACGGAAAAGGTAAGACAACACACACACACACATATTAGCAATGCCAATCGCCCGCTGCGCCTTGTGCCGGAAATCGGCCTCCGCGCGAGGGGTATTTTTTGGGCCGCTCGGAATCAGAAGTGACTCTCTTCTAAGTTTAGTTACGGGAAAACTCCTGGACGAAAATCAATGAAACTCGGCAACCAACCAGAGGAAAGGTTAAACTAACGACATGCCAGCGTACAATCCCGAAC